CCTAATGTCTTTAAAAAGCTCTGAATGTCTTTATAAAGCTCTGCCTTTCTCTGTGTGTTCTCTTTTTGCCCAGTGTAAAATCCACTGATTAACTGATGCTGTTAGTATTAACATCAGAGATTTGTGTCCCACAAGGTCTGTCAGAGGAAATGTGTAAGGACTAGTAGATCATCCCTGTACTCTGATGCAGAGGGGATGGGTTTTTGATGTGTAATTTTGGGTAAAATAACAAAAGGTCAATTTTTTTTAGTGGTATGCCTGAAATACCATGGTAAGAAAAGGGAACTCCTCGTTGATTTATAGGTTTTGTAAGGAAAAATTTAAAATAGAGCATAAAAGAATTTGGAATTCTGGAAAGTCAGTTGGTGAAGATATTGCACTTGTACAGTATTGTGATAGTAATACTTGTAGTAGTATAGTGTTACACCCTGTCTGCAATCACAGGACCTTTATAACATGGTGGGGAGGGCTTGCTCCAACGATACAAGGGTATTTGCATTTAAATTTCACTCAGCAAATAAAATCCATAATGAAATTAATATATCCAAAATCATGTTAATCCTTTAAAGATAGAAGCTACAGAAATAATTTTGTCAGGGACATGACTACAAAAGTTTTATGGATATTTCATGTCTTTCATGAGTGTATGTCTATGTGGGTGCATACATAAACAACAGGGAGGGTACAAGGGCTGAAAAGATCAGAAAATCAGGAGATTGGGATGGTTTTGGACATATTAACTCACCCCCCAGCATAGAAAATGGGACAAGGTGGGCTGCCCATCAACCTCTCTCTTTCATTGGATTCATGTGCAGGCCCGGAGCGGAGTGTTGATGTCACTGATGTCACCAAGCAGAAGGACTGCAAGATGAAGCTCAAGGAATTTGTGGATTACTATTACAGCACAAACAGGAAAAGAGTCCTTAATGTCATCAACCTGGAGTTCTCTGACACCAGGTAAGGGTTCAGCCTGCCTGTAATTACTAGAGATTTATTTGTAATTTATGTTCAATTTATATGTATATTTATATAAAATACATGTCTGTTTATACATAACATGTTTCTATATAATAATATGGTTGTATATATTATTTTTGTCTTTATAATTATATTACAATTACTTATAAGTAATTGTATTACTTATATGGAATTATGTATCAGTTCTGATTTAAAATTCCTGAATCCCATGCTATGTCTGGGATACGTGGCAAGGTTCAGCGGGGCAAGTTTGATCAGTGTCCCCAGTGCTTCCCTTGTTAGGGATTGCTCTTTAACCTTGGGATAGAAGCTTCTGGTTGCTCCAGCTCTCCCCTGCATCATCCATACACAGCCAGTGGAGGCACAGCACAGAATGAAGGTGCTCTTTGCTCTGTGAGAAGGGTACCAGTGATGGCAGCTCAGCCCTGTGTCACCAGCATTCATGTGTCATCAGCAGCCATGTGTCACAACAGGACATTTGGGCACCTTCCAGCTTTATTTCAGCTCCAGTAGTACAGGCACAGTTCATCCAGTGCAGCTGTTTGCTCAGACATAACTTGATGCTCCAGGAGGGAATTCTCTGCCTTGTCCAAGTGGGGGAGGATGATGTCCTCTGTTCCAAGTATGATCTTAGGTACTTGGGTGCAATGTGATAAACACCATTAAGACCAAAGCAAGAAGGACAGGGTGACCACAGAGGTGTGATAATGCTCTCTGTGGGAGAACACAGACACAAGGGGCCTTAATTTTTAATATTCTGTGCTGTTTTTCTGGTGAGATGGGAACCCTGATGGATGTAAGGCAACACCTTCTCCAGCTTAAGGTGATCTTGATCTCCTTGGCACATTCTTTCTTCAAGTGTGCTGTACAGCAGTGAGCATCCCACTAGGTGTGAGTGCATCATGCATTGCTTACTAAAATCTTCCATGCAGAGTAGCAGAGAGGGGGTAAGTAGATGAAGTGTGGCTTTAGGTGTAGTGTTACATGTCACTGGGTGTCCTTTAAGGATAGTAACTTTGAAATTTTGTTATATCTTTGTAATGCTACAGCATGGGTTATAGTTCTGGTTTCAGTGCTTTGGCCAGATAACCTGTGATCTGCCTGACAGCAGCTCAGAGTCAGGGTGGTGCTGACTGCCCGAGGGCAGGTTGGGGGTCATGGTGCAGATCACCTAGATTAGATATTGGGAAGAAATTCCTCCCTCTGAGGGTGGGGAGGCCCTGGCACAGGTTGCCCAGAGAAGCTGTGGCTGCCCCATCCCTGGAAGTGTCTAATTTCAGGTTGGACGAGGCTTGGAGCAACCTGGTATAGTGGAAGGTATCCCTGCCCATGGACTAAATGGGAATGAGATGATCTTTAAGGTTCTTTCCAACCCAAACCCTTCCATGATTCTGTGATTCTGTGACCATTAGCTGGTGTCAGTGCCTGAGAGTTGAGGTCCCTGCTCGGGGCTCTCCGTCGCTGTGCTCAGCACCTTCATCCCAGGAGTGGGCAGGTGCATCTGTAAAGTACTGGATGTCAAACAGCTGCGAGTTTTACAGGTCCTGTAGTCCTTTTGGGGTAGCTGATGCTTCCAGAAGGGAAGCACCAGAGAAGGAGAAGATCCCTTTACATACAAGCACACTACACAGATGATGAGGAATGCCAACAGAAAAATGAAGAATGGTTGTTTTGGGGAGCAATCTGTTTCAGTGAGAAGACTTGAAAAAGAAGGCTGGTGGATAATGACAAGCTCATTTTTCCAGCTATTCCCCTGAGCTGTGTAGTTGGGATTTAGTGGTGCACACCCATTGCTGCAGAGAGCAGCTCTACTCATTACAGGCTTCAGAGATCACCAGGATCTTCAGCAGAGATTTTTTTCAACTTTCTGCCATTATCCTCAAATAACAGGATGTCTTTTGTCCTGAAGGACTGCTGGAGCTGTCGCTCATACACTGCTAATTTAGACATTAATAGCAAATATTTTATTTCTTAGCATAGACAGTGACAGTTTAATTGAATGCACTGCTCCATCTACCCTGCCATGGAAATGGAGCTGTTGTCATCAGGGTTTGACACTGAGCACAAATGACATGTGGGAGCATTTAGTTTGGGTTTGAAGTGGAAATATCCTTACTGACATGATCCAGCAGTGAATCTCCCCCTCCCACAACTATTAGCCCAAATTTTGGACTATATAAATCTAAAATTTAGCACATTCTGGGATGAAACACCTAATACCTGGTTATCATGCCACTGCATTGTCTTAGCTATGATTATAGTGTATGATATTTGTCACATAGTATATGAATTATATAAATAAATAAATAGAGTATGAACATATGTTCAATGTAAATGAAGATAATTTGTATAAATTTTAGATACATATGCGAGTATATGCTTAGTGTAAATAAATAGATTTATTTGTAGAAATTATAGAAATTATAGAAATATATATGTTATCTTTTAAATATATTCACGTTATCAACCCAAATTAGGCATTTTCCTCCTTCTGAGCTTTTAATGTAATTTAGTCAATCTAAATAAGATCACTGATTTTCAGCATCAGAACAAGACTTATTTATCCATAAGCATTAATGTTGTTGTTATTTGGATTATTAATATTAAGCTTAACTTTCAAGTTTTTAAGGTTTACCAGATGATTTATGTCAAAGTGCACACGTTTCACTTTCTCTTCAGAAGGGGGCTGGGAAGGTGACTGTGATAGCAGATCTGGTGATACCTGAGCCTGCATAGCAAGAGGCAGGGGCTGGAGAAATGCAAACAGCATATATTTGATCAGAGACGATGCTGCTGAAAGAAGGCAAAGGATTATTGTTAAGTCATGATACTTAAAAAAACCTTAAATCTCTGTCTGTAAACAGTTTTCCCAAATTTTCTGAATGAAGAGCAGTTCCACTGCCACAAGAGGAGCTGCTTCAGTTTGCCATGCAAGTATTGTCACACTCGCCTCTCGTCGTACCGGGGTCCTTGAGCTCTGTTTTAAAAAGCTGCCTGTCTGTTCTCCGTTCTCTCTGTAAGGATGTCCAGTTTTGTAGAGCCTCCTGACATTGTAAAGAAGCTGTCCTGGGTGGAAAACTATTGGCCTGATGATGCTCTGCTGGCTAAACCCAAAGTGACCAAGTACTGCCTGATCTGTGTGAAGGACAGTTACACCGACTTCCACATAGACTCTGGAGGAGCCTCTGCCTGGTACCACGTGCTCAAGGTGAGGGCTCCTGGGTGTCAGGTGGATCTTGTAACCAACTAAGTTTTACACACAAAGAACCAGCATGAAATTCTCTTGAAATTCAGCTCTCAGGTTTATTTCTCCATGGCTCTGTTGTATCTGAGCCTTATCTGCTGTAAGTGGGTTCGCTCCCAGCAGTACTGGATCTCCCGAGTGAGGAAGCACTTGGAGCATGGAAATCCAAATCCTCTGTGTATTTTCACTCTATTAGAATTTTAATATTTGTTTAGTGCCTTCTGCACATACATCACCCAAGGCCTTAAAGGTACCACGTCCTGCTTTTGCACGGTGATGGAACCTGGTGCTGTAAACATCACTCCCACAAATCTGAGCAGATGTGGTCAGCTGGTGCTTTAATTATTTCAGCCCCTCTGTACAAAGCTCACTAGTTAATTTTATTTAAACAGGGCTAAAATAGACAATGTTATCTGTACATCTAGATAAATATTGGAGTGTGTGTGTGTCCGTGCCACTGCAGTGTTGTTTGGTTTGGCTACTCATTGCTAATTTTATATTTTCTAATTCAGGGAGAAAAGATATTTTATCTCATCAAACCAGCCCCTGCAAATATTTCTCTGTATGAACGCTGGCAGTCAGCAGCAAACCACAGTGAGATGTTTTTTGCAGACCAAGTGGATAAATGTTACAAATGCACCGTTAAACAAGGCCAGACACTCTTCATCCCATCAGGTGAGCAGGCTGGGGCAGGTGGGCTTCCCTCCTCTGTTCAGAGGAGCACATCCAAAATGCCAGAGGGGTGGGATTTGACAGCTTTCTCTGACAAAGTCTAAAGTCTAATTCTCAATAGAAGTTTGATTTCATGTGCTTACAAGCATAACAGTCAAAAAAGAAAAAATCAGACCTTTTCCTGCTTTCTATTAAAATTTTAGCAGCCTTTTTTACATACCACTAGTAGGCAGAGTGTTCCACCCGTGGTCTAGCTGGGTTGCAGTAACTCCTGAATTCTCCTTCTGTATCCACCATGACATTGGTGCTTTCTGACACCTAACACAGAATTTATGTTTAATGAATTTCTATTCTGACCATGACACAAAATCCTTGTCACAGACATTAATCCCCTGAGACACTCAGGAAATGCAGGTACCTGCATGAGTGTGAGCGTGCCCTTATGGCTGCACACTAGGCCAAAGACCTCGGTGTTACAGATTTTTGTGGGTTATTTAATAGACTCAGGCTTTCTTTGGGTATTAGGGATAGTGGATTTCGTTTTTCTTGGTTCCTGGGAGGATCTCTATAAGGACAGGGAGTTGATCACAAAACAGTGCAGGGTTTGAAGTGAACACAGTTGTGCTCCAGCCCTTCTCCCTCACCTTCTTCTAACTATTGAACAACAATTTCCTCATTTGCATTGCTGTTTCCAGCCCTCCCTGTTACCTGCTGAAACTGTAATCTCTTTGGGACAGGGATCTTCTCTCCCTCTACGTGCATGTAAATGATGCAGAGCCCTCCTCGAGCCACAGTCTGAGAGCAGGCAGTGGCAGTAACTGGTACCAGTGCTCAGGAGGCAGCAGACAGTAGTGACATTTTTCTCTGTGTGAGTATATTCTTGCACAGAATGTTTACACACTTGAATTTTACCTCGAGTGTAAGAAGTGGAAAGTAGGTGTTTCTCTCATCACCATCTGTGGAGCAGATGGTGGAACAAACACAGAGCAATTTATAGAGATTCCCTAACTGGAGTAGATTTTTGTATGAAAATACATGTTTGGAAAACACCTGGTTCTGACACTGTGATAAAAGTACGTGTCACAGGTTTTCATGGAGATGGGAAAGCAGCTGCCATTATGCAGCAAAATAAACAAGGGGCCACTTGTTCAAGGAGTGTGTGGTTCTGGGGTGGACTGGAGAGCTGTACTGGTACCTAGGGAGGAGGCTGCTCAGTAAAGTATAAACATCATGTTGTGATTAAAGTCTGTACTACTGCCGTTCCAGTTTTTATCCTGAGGACTCTTGTCTTTCTCTTTTAGGTTGGATTTATGCAACTCTAACACCTGTAGACTGCCTGGCCTTTGCAGGACATTTTCTACACAGTCTAAGCGTTGAAATGCAGATGAGGTAATCTGGCATTAAAATCTGAAGTTGTGTAGAGGCTCAGTAATAATAAATCATTGGCAGTAAGGCTGGTGTAGCTCTGTTGGGCAGTTTTGGGTGGTGTACCCCCCTCTGTGCCCTCTGACCACGTTCTCTCACGCTGAGTTGTTCTCAGCTGCCCTTACGCCTGTTGCACAATGCACAGGAGGATATGTGAGGGGCCTGGGTTGGTGTGGCCATGTCCTGAAGGAAGAACTGCTACAAACTGCCAGGAGTTTTACCCTGGCACCTACCATTCAGTGCTGGATAAGCCCCCACCCACTCAGCTGGACTCTTTGCTCGGTGCAAGACAGTACAAGTAGTTCTTTATTGATTCTGGGCAAATAATGCAATAAAACTATCATACATCTGTATCACCTTGTTTTTTTAGTGGTGCTGTTGTTATATTCTGCTTTTGGCCTGATGCCAGACTACATGGCAGCAGCACAAAGAGGCTGCAAAGTGACCCTGGGGCTTTTGTGACACACTCGTGCCCTGTGATGCTCTAAGTTCCTGTGGCTTTGTCTTGCAGGGCATATGAAGTAGAAAGACGGTTGAAAATTGTCAGTCTGACCCAGTTTCCAAACTTTGAAACAGCGTGTTGGTACATGGGGAGGCATCTACTAGAGAAATTCAAAGGTAAAACTGCATTTCCTTGCCTGCCTCGATGGCTCAGCTTTGGGGTCTGAGAACAGTTACCCCTCATATATGGTGATGTCCACATAAAGGATGAACAGGTGGCCAAAACTGGTCTTGTTAATGTTTGAAAACTACTTTGAACATACCAGCAGAACGTGCTGCTCTGGTCCAGCTCACCCCTGAACATCCTGCCATGGGCTCTGGGAAAGACCTGAGCTGTTCCTCTTACTTGTGCCTATGAGAAGGTTTATTCTGCTTTATAAAATAATGCTGTTATTTTATTTTGAGTTGCCTGTGAGTCTGGATTCATTCCCTGTTTTAACTGAATGAGCTATGGGCTCTGTGAGCCCTCCTTTCTCCCTTCATCCTGCTGATCCTGGTTGAAGGTATGGGCAGGTCTCATGGACACAGGGCCACAGGAGCATGAGGCATGTGGCCAGCAGGAGCATTGGGAATTAAAGCCAAGTTTTCTGTGAAGTTCCAGCTCTTTCAAATTTGATTCCTGCAGAGTTGATCCAAACATCCATGTGTAAATGTTCTTTACAGATTCGGGCTTGCTTTGCTCTTTGCCTCTATTTCTCTTACTATAGGACGTGTCCAGAGATATCCATCAGATCCTTCTATAAAGAGGAAAATTTGTCTAATTAATCCACAGGCTGCTTTTCAGAATTCAGTCAGAATCAAAGAGCCACTGATGGTGCCTTTTTATTCCCACAGCCTGGATGAGTGGCCCTAGAAGTTAGGGATGAGTATGGGACCGAGAAAGGAGCCAAAGGATTGCTGGTGTAGACAGAGCTGACAGGAGCACAGTGTAGGAAGGCTGAGCTGGATCTGTGACACAGTAAATATACTCCTTATTACCATCAAGTTACAATAGGGATTGAATTGTGGGGACCAGCTCTCCAAGAGTTAACTTTAACTTTTCCAGTTAAACTTCTCCAAATTAAAGACTTCCTGTAAACTGCCAGTTGTTGAATGACATTGGGTTTTTCCTCTGCTTAGGTTTGCATAAAGCTGGACAGCAACCTCCTGCTCATCTACTCCAAGGAGCAAAGATTCTCAACGGTGCTTTCAGGTCATGGACTAAAAAACAGGTAGGAGAAGCAGCCTGGGTTAATATTGGGTGTTTGTTAGTTGCTGGGGCAGAGAGGAAATGCTAGAACAAATAACATCTCCAGAGCAAAACATCCAATTCCAAGATGCCAAAGAGAAGGAACAGGGAGAACGGGAAGGCAGGTGCTAGCTGGGATGTCATGGTGCCACACGAGGAGTGGGCAGGAAAAGTGGTACCACCAGAGTTCTAAAAAAGTTGCCAAAGGGACAGTGAATGAATGTTCTCCTTGATTCCAAGCATCTCCCTGTGCCACAGCAGCTCAACAGAGGGTTTGTGCAGTGAGGGCTGGAACAACACCTGCTCTTCTGTGGGCACAAGGTGCCCAGTTCCTGCAAACCCAGCACCTCGATCCAGCCAGGGAATACACACTGCTTGGAGACAAGGCTTAAGGGGATTTGAAGCCTCAATTTCCTGCTACAGCTATTTCAGAAGTGTTATTCTTGTTTGTGTGGCTCCTAAATTTTGGGGGACTCAGCTGCAGGAGATAGCCTGTTCCATCACTAAACATGGACAGGGGAATTGGCCAAAGTTGGACTTTGACTGTGGTAACACACATGAGAGTGCAGAGGATGTCAGTGCTCCCAGAGCCCCCAGAACCCTCTGCTGACACAGAACCTGCCTGTACTCACTGAGGACACCAGCCTGAGACAGTGTGTCTTGGTGAATGTAGAAAAGGAATTTCTCTCAGAATCTCATGTAAGAGGGTGAGCAAAATGATGCTGCAGCTGTGAAAAAGCAGTAATATCTGAAAAAAGATGATTGACTTTGTTGTTCTCTCAGGACAACTTGTTACAATAACATCTAGAAGGGGAAAAAAGTATATTTTTTCCTTATTTGAATGTCTAATGCAGTCAAGATTGATTTCAGCACATAGGAAAAATTTGGTTGAGTCACTTCAAGAGGGTTTTTTTTCTATTTTTGAAAAAAACACACACAGAAACAGCAGTCTGGCTTTGTTGTGTTTTAGGCTTTAGCAGAGCATGAAGATGAACTACCAGAAAACTTCAAACCAGCACAACTCATCAAGGACCTTGCCAAAGAAATAAGATTAAGTGAGGTTTGTGCTGTTTTCATAATATTAACTATATATGTCTAGGCTGAAAAATGGATGTATTTAAATAAATGTTTCCCTTTCTCTCCATTAAAAGAACTCTGCTCAGGACTCTTGTCTGTGGCTGACTTTTCATGTTCTGGGCTCTTCTTTGCTTTTCCTCAGCTTTATGCTGTGTCTGCCTGTCCTGCACCCTTTCTCCTCCACCTGGTCCTGGCTGGACTGGCCACACTCCCCTCTCCAGCCTTATTTTCTGTTTCACTTTAGCTTCTTCTCCCCTCAAAACAGGATAGAACTCAAAGAACACTGTTGCCATCTTCATGACCACGCTCTCCATGTAACATCTGCTTTTTCTTGTGCTTAACACTCTTGTCCATGACATTGGCTGAGCTTGGAACTATGATCCTGTGCCTTGTCCCAGTGGGAAACCTTGCTCTTGGGGCAGAGTAGCTATAGCAAATGAGATAATAATTATAACACTGCCCAAAAAAACCCAACAACCCCAAAAACCCCCCAGTAAAGGAGGTTGCATGGGAGGATCATCCACTGAGTGTGGTACCATATCCCCCAAGGTGACAGTAGCTGGTTCAGTTCCTTTGAGAAGACATTGTGTTACATTCCACCCCCTTTCTAAACGACACCCAAAGACCTCAAAACTGAAATCTGTCATGTCCTTTGATCCTCTTTGATGTAGTGTTTAAGTTTGCTGATTGTCAGAACGGCAAGTTAAGCAGAAAATAATTTCTTTTTAATTAGTCAGTGTTAATTTTAATTGGGCAGCTATTTTACTGCTAATTTTCCCCAGGGGGCATGAAATGTGATTCTGCTACATTTATCGTATCAGAGTTAAGTGGAAAGTGTTTGTGCTCAAGCTGATCAGCATTTTAAGCAGAAGAGTGTTCCTTTCATCCATCTGTTTGTGTGGACAGTCCATTTAACCGTCCCACCTGATGGACCTACAT